GGGGGGGGGGGGGGGGGGGGGGGGTAGAATCCAAAAAAAAAATCGGGCAAGCAATTCGAACTTAAAAAAAATATCGTGCAAGAATAAAGGGACGAAAAAAAAATATCGTGCAAGACTTTCGGGTGGTAATCCTTATTTGCCATTCGGTGCATTTCCGCGTGTAGCCCAGGGCCGTATGTAGCAACGGGGGGCTGCAGGGTCCAGGAAATGGCATTTCAGAGACTCTAAATTTTAAAAATTTCCTCGGGCCTTCGGCACTCGCTTTCAGCCCCCCAATAAAAAAGAGCTTCCTACGGCCGTGTAGTGTAAATAATGGTTGTGCGTATAATTCCAAAAATGGTTGTTCTTTATTTCTTTACTCCGACTCCTATGATGAACATGTACGTAAAAAGCTAGGAACACTACGATTAAATCACGGCCGTAGAAACTAAAATAAGTGAAATTTTTATGGGACACGATCAAAGGCGAGGATAAAAGAGCGAGAGATTGAAATTGACTGGGGAATAGCGTACAGGGGTATGCGTTTCGACCTAACAGTTTTCTTCAGCAAGGTTTTTAAGAGGGAGGGGGTGTAGATATAATTTGAAGAGGAGAAGGAAGGAGAGTTTATAGGAGTTCGGAAAATAATGTGAGACAAAGAGGAAAACAAATTATTATGAAATAACTGAAATTATTATATATCAATAGTCAAAGTCGCATTTTTCTAGTGTTTTATTGGTTGAGAACATCTCACGTGAGTGTGACGAAATTAGGCTGTCTCCCTCGCAAGAGGGAGATAATACGTTATCGACCGGCGAATAACAAAAAAATTCACGTGCGCCATCACGTGAAGATGCGACCTTTGGACATTCCTAGTATAGTACGTAATTAAAACTTTCGCTTCAAGTAACTGCAGTGTAGCCAGTGTTTAATTTAACGTTTTAACAATAAAATATTTCATGTATTTACGTTCATTTGTTCTTTAATTTGTTGTTTCTTTGACTATTGATATATAATAAAACACTTATGTACTGAAACCTCGGGAAAGCAGTGTGTTTTGTGGACCCTCGACCGTCGATGGTCTCGGGTCCACAAAACACACTGTTTCCCTCGGTCTCAGTAAATAAGTGATAAATAACCAATTGCACCGTGAAAGGATGTAACTACTATACATGTTATTAGTCTGAGTTATCCTACCAAAGGTCTTGTTGTTTGCGGGACATTCCAACACTACGCACTTTATTGTTCATCGTTCGTATTGGTGAAGTGAAGAAGATCCTTCAATTAAGGGTTAACTTACTCAATGGTATAGTGAGTTTGAATGATTGTGATGGTAAGGGTGATCATGTGACTGTAGGTGATTGCATCCAAATATGGTGCTAGTGGTGTAGGAGCTTATAAGACAGGGATAGGGGCGTTTGGCAATTAGTGATACAATTACCTATTATATACCAAAAAATGTAAAAACAAAAAACTAAAAAATATATATACATGCATACAAAAAAATATCGTGCAAGTCCTCTGACTGACAAAAAGAAATCGAACAGTGTCAGGAGGCGGGAAAAAAGTATCGAGCAAACTGAATATCTACCCATCAAAAATCAAATGGTCCGTCCCTAATACCTCAACGGCAACCAATCAGCGTAGAGAATTTTCAATAATCACCTATGTAATTATACTAAATGTAATTATGTGCGTATAATGCAGTGCTCTCACTTTTAAGGAATTATCCTTAAAAATAGGAATTGTGAAGAGTTTTAAGGATTTTTTTAAGGAATTTAGGTTTTTGAGGATTTTTTTAAGGAATTTCCGAAACATTTTATCCTGGACTAAAAACGTTCGACGGAGGATAACCACGCCACGCAAATGTGATTTAAACTTGAAAGTAGCAACATTATACGCACATAATTACATATATTCGTATGTTCTCTATGTCATAAATGTACATATGGCTGTCTTTTCCAGTGGCGGACACTGGGGGGCCTGAGCCCCCCAATAATTTTGAAAGACTGCAAAAATCGTGTACCAAATAACACAAATCACACTCATATACAAGTGTGCAATACAAGTGTGCAACCAGACGTCAAAAGCGAACAAGTCCCTTGGCTACATCAAAAGAAACACCAGATTCGTGAAAAGTACTGAAGCAAGACGGATGTTCTACCTGGCCCTAGTTCGGTCACATTTTGGTTATGCAACACAAATCTGGGCACCACAATCAATAGAACTTATCAACCATCTTGAACGAACCCAACGACGTGCTACCAAATATATTCTAAATGTACCGTTCTCCTCGGATATAGACTATAAATCAAGACTGCAGTCGTTGCATCTCCTCCCAATATGCTACTGGCACGAATACCTTGATTTGATTCTATTCTTTAAGATCACACATGGTTTAGTGAAAACAAGCGCCTCTCCAGTTATTCAGAATTCTCGCAGAACCACTCGCTCAAATTCAAGCAACACAGTCAAGTATGTCATCCCCAGATGTAAAACAACCAGCTACCAGAAATCCTTCCTCATTAGAACTTCCAGAATATGAAACACACTAATAGACGCAATAGACCTTCATACGGACAGTCTCGCTGTATTTAAATCATGTTTACTCAATTATTATTTTACCTCTGTTGACATTACTTATAATCCTGAAAATCCGCGAACGTTTAGATCTTTATGCTTGAAATGCAACTGTGTTCGTAGTTTAGCGTCTCCAATATCTTGCTGTTATTGAAAATTTCAGCACAGCTAGCTCAACATGGCAACTGCTCGTGCTACGCTTATATAGTCGGTAGCATGCATTGATTTGTTCAATTTCTTTTCAGCTAGTGCATGTTATTATCATAGCATGATCAGTTGCCGTAGCTAGCTAAATATATAGTTGTATAAATGCATGAAGTTAGTTGTTAGTTTTTTTGCTATTTGATGTTAACGTATTGTCCTTGGGTTCGCAGTAATTGGCTAATCGCTGTTGCGAATACCCTGCCATATAGTCTAGTTAATTCGTTAAATTATTACTTTGTAATAACTGTTAATACTATCTGGCAAAGTTAATAAATTAAAAAAAAATTAAAAATATAAC